ATCATCATCATCATCATCATCATCATCATCATCATCATCATCATCATCATCATCATCATCATCATCGATCGTTTTCCACTGTTACAGGGAATGGGATATGCCCAACTTATACAGCCTATACTGTAGTGAATAACTGAAGGGTCAAAACTAAAGACCCTAACACATGGCAGGTGAATCATTCCAAACATGGGAAACTTTGGAGATTGTCACCGCAGATGTTGTGTTTGGTGTACCGTTTTCTCCCGGTTTCAACACCCATTATTTAACAGAAATAGCGCCTTTTCCAGTCTTTCATGAGTCTTTCATGCATCAATGCATCTGTAATTTTTCCTAAGTTTGACTATAGGGTTGTGCAAGTGCACCAAGTCCACCAAGTGAACCTTTGTAAAGTTCGCAAGCTCCCCCCGCAAGCGATCGTCTTGATTCTGTCGCTTCCTCTGCTTCACCGGTGTCTGCCAATGGCTTCCACCACTGAAGCACACGTCGACGTTGCACGGCCGACGTCGAGGCTTTGCTTCGCTGGTGTGAGAAAAGGGATGGTGAACAATGGTGAACAATGGTGAACATACTTCCACTCAGTGGGAGTGATCGATTCCGACTCAAAACACCGCCAACGCGTCTTGGGGGTGAACATGAAGCGGAAAAAACGCTTTGTTTTAGGCAAACACTTCCTGCCCACAGAAAGGACAGTTCAATTATATTCAATTATATTCCAGTTGAATATACTAAAATAGTATACTATATAATACCTCCAGTATATATACACATGCACACATGTTTTTATAGATAAACCTGCCGCCAGCTTCTGCCATTTGTGAGGCAACCATTCACCATCCCAACAGCCACCTCACCCAGTTCGTTCAAGGCCGACCGCGTGGACCTGTTTTTGTTTGACTGTAACCAGAGTGGGAACCAAAAAGCAACCCTACTCACATCTTCTCCAGACACGAAACATGGGACTGGGGTACGTTTGGGTGGTTGAAAAAAGGGAGTCAATGGGGTACGACCGATCTGCCAGTCCCATCGGTCGTGTCTTGTTTGGATTCGTCGTACCATGTCGTACCCTCCCGAACAAGACCATCGTTTGGACCCGGTGCTTTTGGAAGATGGGGGCTGTGACCAACATACCTTCCCGGTCTTCGGAGTCCATCTTCCGGTACACCATAGGACAGCAGCAAGTTAGTACATGAATGTAAATGACCTCACTGATTTCTTCCGAACTTGGTGAACTTGGCAAGAATCAGGATTTGCCGCCAAACACATGCTAAGCAAGGATGTTTCAGCCAAGCTTATTGCAACAACAGAACGCTCTCATTTCCAGACACTGCCCACACGAAAGCTTAGGCGCGCGCATCCACACGCAGATGTTGGCCATTTTCTCGTCCAGACGAACGGGTGGGTTCACCACCACTGAGCGTCCAGAGTTGGGAGATCTGACTTGATTCGAAGTGCTTTTTGGATCAAAAGAAGGATCCTCCACATCATTCCAGAACCAGTTTTACGAGGTCCTGCTGTAAATTGACCTAGTTTTACGAGGTCACATGCTTATTTTTCTTCAGGGTCTTTAGGGTTCAGCACTTCTTCCGTCTTGCGCAGAGTAGTCGAGTGGTGATTCTTCGGGCGATTTGGCGATTCGGCCTCCCAGCGGCCAACAATGAGCCCACGAAATGTAACACAAAGCCTGAGCAAGGTTGACCTCGGTGACTTCCTCGATTAACAGTTCTATTTGGGTCCAAGATACTTGGGGCGAGAATCAAGCAACCAGTCTGATGAGAATCTTGGATTCTCAAGTCGGTACCAAGTGTTTTGTGTGACTGAAATTAGAATGCAGATTGGTCTTGCGGGGGAAGTTAGGCTGAAGTATATAGACAGTGATGGGCTCAAGCAGATCCAAGGAATTTGCAGTCTCATGATGTTGCATTTCATTTCTATTGGCTGCATTCTCGCCCTATCCACGAAATTTTCGAAGCGTCAGTCGTTGTTGGCGCATTCTGTTCGCTTCAATCGCCCCTGAAAACAGCAGAACTGTTCGCAACAGTCGCCGCATCCGGATACTTCAGCACTCGCCTCAAAGCGCTCGCATGTTTTCCTGCAAAGACCAAAATAACCAAGACCAGGCTGAATAAGCAGCTGAACCTACTAGCGGTGGCCTCCACCCTAGCAGCGATGGCCTCTCAAAGCACTGGATAAATCTGGATACCAAGTTACCTCCCATCTCAGTCGTTCAGTTCGGCATGGCCTGAAGGGCCGGTTTGCCAATGTTTGCCACAAGAATCTCTTGTGGTGTGGCGGTGGGTGCACTGGGTATTTCTGACGTGACACAGGAGATGACACAATTCCGATGTGCAGAAAACACCCAAAAGAACTGACGCATTGGATGACCAACCTGAGGGAAGCTTGGAGCTTTGACAATGTCGTTCTGACTAGCTGCGGCAATGGTTCAATAATCCAGCTGTTCAAGCCCTGTGTTCCACACTGCGTCATCCAGGAGAGTAAAGACCGGCAACCACATCATGGTTCCGACAGCGGAGAAAAAAGGTGAGCAAGGAACCAGGGTTGTGAAGGCTCGGGTATCCACGTGCATGATCCATTGCTTCCATTTGACTGAAGGTGTATTTACAGTTATTTGATCAAAAACTGCAGGCAGCCTTTGGCCACAGGCACCTTGAAGAGAGGAACCAAAGAAGGTGGAATTCAATGCCGCTGCCTTTCGAAAAAGGCAATCCCTAAGCCTCTGGTCCATTTTCCCCAAGAGGCTTGGAAGTGAGAATCAACAAATCCAGCAACTGCGACCCGTGGGTTCGTATTTTAATAGTGGACTCGGCGGGCCTAAAGGGGTTTTGGTCTGTCTTCCTCCCAACCAGTGGACCGTTGCCTGGGGGATCTATCCTAACGCAAACCCACAGTCGTTGGGTTATTTCGTCTACCACTTGCTGCTCTTGAATCACGACATTCCTCCACAATCACGAGCGGAGCCTTGATCAAAGCCTTGGTTTTTGGTCGCTGACTTTGGTGCAGAGATCCTACTTGTTTTGCCACAAAGACAAAGAGATGCAAACAAAACGGTTCAAGAATCAGTGCCATACTCAAGGCTAGGTGATGATGGAACGTGACATGTCTCACTACATTTGTATGCCAGGATTATGACAGTCCCTTTGGACAGAGGGCTTTGTGAAAAAAAAAAACATCCCTCTAACGTCTTCTATAATCAAAACACCATCCAACACCCATGCATCAACTTCACCCGACACTCCCATGACAAAGACAATGGTCTGAGAGTTCTACTGTTCTTTGGTTGATTTTGCAAGAAATCATGACACTATATTTACCATACCCCTCGTGTAAGTTGAATTTAACATACGACTCTAGGTCTCTCAAATTGTATGAGCAACGACGTTAAGGTCTATGTGACCAAGTGTATCTTTGGAAGAACGGTTCTCTTTCGCGGAACTGTTCCAACACGGAACCCAGTACCAACCAACCGTGGTCCTCCCGCCATGACGGAGCCCACAGTGCGGGTGTGCCTGTGGCCTCAGTCTGCCTCGCTCGGGTGAGCTGCTCAAGGGACACTCCCTCCAACCTCATGGTGACGTGGATGGCATGGTCAATCTGCCGTGGATGGCCTGGTTTCAGCATCGATTTCTGGGAAATCTCAGTTGGCAGGGCCTCCATGGCTGAAATCCAGGTTGCTTCATCCAATCCAAGGCCCTGTCTACGATACGCTGATAAGACCTGGCTGTCGACAGGTGGCCTTTCAAAGCCCGTGTGTTTTTTGGAGAAGAATACAAAATGAACAGAACACAAAGGATCGACCTATGTTCATAGACTTTCTTGTATTTTTTATCTATCGTCTTCGTTTTTTGAGTGACTCCTTGGATGGTTCTGGTACTGTAGCCATTGCGGTTGACCCCACCGAAGAATCCCTGGGTCCCCTCAGATTTACACCTTGATATGTGCAGACTTGAACTCCCACTTGATCATCACTTGATTCAATGTTGGATCCAAACCCAGACACTCCATGGGACTACCATATTTGCCCAGATTGAGGCGGTTCGGGGCCAGTTCCATGAAGTGTTTGGGACAGGAATCCTGAATAAGCCATGCACCGAAAGCGAAACTCTGGAGTTTCACTCTAGGAATCCAAGACTGATATGGTGAAATTCAGGGTCTCAGCCTTTTTCGACTGTCTCCACTTTTTTTGACATTCACAGGGCCAGTTGCTTTCGGTCAGCTGGAAAGATGAGCTTTTTGTCAGCCGAACTAACTAACTTTTTCCCCACCCCCTAAAGAGCTTCTCGTGAGTTGCTGTGGATGTGCAAAAGTCGTCCTAGGAGATTTCAGCCAAAGAAATTCCCTTAAAGCAAGTTCAATGCCTGACCTTCACAAGACCTCGACAGGCTCAAACAAGTACAAACAAAGTCTTTCACAATTCGATCTCCATAGATTATCATAGATTCAGTTTTTGTGTGTTCATTGTGTATGATTTTGTTGACGCCTGTCGAGTCGAGGTGTTGTACAGAGGTATTTGCACTTATAGATACCTTTGGGATCCACTCATTCTCTACGAAGCACCGGCCAGTCGAGTATGAGAGCCAATTCCTCAGCGGCTTCAGCCTGATCCTATCAGTGTCGAACTGGCCCATAAAGGCTGCTCCTGCTGTCTATGGCACCAAACCCTAGCCTGAAAATGCATTCAACACATGTCAAAACTCACACGTGATACTAGTTCCTTTGATCATATTTCTAATTGTCCTTTTTAACTAGTTTGTTTCAGCTCTTTTCAATGCCTTTCTATATATATATTTTGTTCTTCTTGATCTCGTCTTCATATCTGTCATTGTTGTGTTGTTCATCCTATTCTTCTCAAAGGGCTTTGCTGTTACTGAAGTTGTTGTTTACTTCCTGCTTGGCTCGTTTGTTTTGGTTCTGAGAAACAAACCGATGGACGGAACTAGACCAGAGACAACGATGGGTGACTTGTCCGCCATCATTGCAACGTTAGTTATAACGATTTATAACGTATTGTTCTGAAACATATTGTGCCGTTTTGCCTTAACCAGAAGGTCTTCATCTCTTGGACAGGTCGTTGATTGTAGATGAAGCCTTTGCAGAACATAGAATTCCTAGTTAAAATACTGAATTTTCCAAATGTTGTGCTCCTTACTCCTTGCAAAGGAGCAACCTTTTATGACGAATAAGGATCTTCCATAATGGACAATATATAACTATATATATATACACGTGATATAGAGTCGGACTATTCTCAAGGATGCATATGGTAAAAGAGATGCTAGCTTTGTACGTACACTGTCGGAGGTTCTGGAAAGAACATGTATTCTTCAGAAGACAGAATCCTCCAGCTTGTTTTATATTAGGCTGGGCTTGTTTTATCCAGATAGACTTTAAGGAAAACGCCATTTGAAAGTGCAGGGAGGTCCTGGGAGTTCCATAGGGTAGCGGTAGCATTTCTTCCGAATCAAGACGCCTCGACACTCCTCGGTCTCGTCCTTTGTGGCCCTCGGTCTCGACCTGATCTCTCAGCTCGAGGTGCCTCCTTCAACGTCCGCAAGTCTGCGCTGCCGGACTTTTGTCAGGCTGGACCTGTTTGGAGGTCGCAACGGAGTGGAGCGAATCCGGCGGAATCCGGCGGAGCGAATCCAGACGGGAAACAAACCTTTTGGGTTGTGACAGGTTGAGACAGAAGTTACAATAAGTTGCGATGTTTCCCAGTTGCTTTTTACCATGTTATTGTGTCTTTTTCTTCACACGCCAGGAAGGCCATGGCACGAGAGACATCAAGCACAAGAGTTCGTGTAGATGCTTGATTTGTGTGAATCGGAGGACTTTGAGCCAGAACCCAAAATTTGGACAACCATTCCAAGAAATTCATCATGTCTATCATGTCGAGTCCTTAGATTTGTCCATATTTTCGAAGTGATTTCTTCCAATTGCTTTTGGCATCTTTGCAGTTTTCCGCGGCCTCTCTTTGTGTCTCTCTATGCCTCTGTATTGAGCTCACGGACCCCCCGAAACGGAGCCCGGTTTACAGGCAGCGAGCCGGATCGCCACCGAAGCAGGCGGGGTGCCGGGGATGGGCACCCGTTCCGCGCTGGAAGCGACGTCGTTGAGATACAGCAGATCTCATGTCAAAATCAAGCTGCTCAATCATACAAGTGTTTACAATATAACTTACTGTATACAGTACTCATGTAGCACCTTGAGAACCTTTAGAATGATCAACCGATGTATGCTTTGCACAGGATGAGTTTAATTCACCTGAATTCACAAATTGAAATTGTGTGCAACTTCGGAATGTCAGATTCAATGCCCACCTGAACCTGTTGTTTTGTTAGTTGTCCACAGCCATTCCCATCGATATAGCCCTTTTTGGCTTATGATTTGTCCCGGAACAACATACTCAGACAAAGTGACCTCATCTCAAGCACTCATCTTGAATGATTCTGACACCTTGGTTTCATGCATGTCCGTGCAAAAGCCACGCAAAAAGGAAGTCACATCTTTTTGAGGCCACGGTGGGTCACCGTGGGTCACCATCCCCACCCCGCTTCACACGGCCCCAAGAGACCCCGGACTCTCCAGCGCCGTTGATCCGGAACGACCACCGCCGCGCTCCTCCCCGAGGTCTGGACGAACACTGTGGCGCTTTCCGTGTGCAACGGGAGATTGGTCCGGGACGCCCGAGAGCTGCCGTGAGCTTTACGGGGCGGCGTAGATCTCAACAACGGGGCGGCAGTGCATGCGGAGTCTATGCGAGTCTTGTGCCGAGCGAGTCTGGTGGCGGATGGCAGCAGTCAGGAGTTCAATGTTACACACACCAACAGCTCAGAAAATGGCAGCAGTTTTGCCATTTGACAAGTTGTTCAACAAATCAGATGGGGTTCGGGTGCATTGAATGTTTAGACCTATCATTTTTGCCACATTGCCAAGCTGAAACAAAACGTGGTACTTTCGAGTAGATTGAGAAATGAGAATCTGTGGTCCGCTACTTTATCCCTACCCTTGACATCCTTTGACAACATATCCCTCAAACCGTTGGCTCAGCTGAAATGATGCAGGTATTTCAGGGATTCTTGCCTGATTCCAACCGGTGCAAGAGGACTCTTACTTCAGCAATTCAGTCCAAATAATATGCTGTCAAGAATAACTATGGCGGGGCTTTGGCTTAGTATTTCAATCGTGTCCTCCTCACACCTGGATACAGCTTACCCTCCGACTCACTAACACGGAACTGGAATCATGGACCCTTAACGACTTCTACGAAGCAGGGTTTTGTTCCACTTCCATCTGATGACTTCTTCGGAGAGTATGTTCTAGCTCCAAAACTCCGAAAACTCATCCTTATTCCAATACACTCCAATATCTCCAGTCTGCTCCTTACTCCTTGACCCCCACACCGATCGCCCCATCGCCGACCCGCCGAGGCTGGACCCGACAGGTCTCCACCGAGGCGTCGTGGGGTCGTGCTCCGCCTCCGCGGCGTGGCGTCCCGGGTTGACCCACGTAGTGGAGGACGCCTTGATTATATCAACCCCCCACGTATTGAAGCGATTTGTTAAGAGATGTGTTAAGTGCCTACTAAATGGAGGGGGTTGATGATGTTGATGAATCAAGAGTCTTCATTGGATGATGTGCAGCGACCCCAAACTTAGAGGGATGACCTGGCCAACAAGTGATTCACGAGGAAAACCCACCCAAGTTGCTAAACCTCATGAGGCGCCGCTGATTTCCCATCACCGGTGACTCCCCATATACTGGACGGGTGTGAGCCAAGCAGTTCCAGGGGTCAGCTTTCAGTTCCTGGGGCAACCTTGAAGGCAACTTGCGACGTGAGCATGCTCCGTAGGTCCTTCCCAGTGTTCGACGAGTTCCACCAATCAATCACACTCTTTCCACTCCAGATGCTGCAACAACCGACCAACCAGCCAACCAACCAATATCAACCAATGTTCCATAATCAGACTTTACTCATTGGTTCCGGTGAACTTGACCAGAATGGGAATTTGCCAATGGTCATGCTGCCAATGCTCAAATGTTCTCCAGCCTGCCAGGCACAGAGCCTTTTCATGCTGGTGCAGGAGCTAGCTGACCAATCAATTCGCGTTCCACTTCGTGGCAGGCAAATTGCCCGAGTTGTTATATAATAATATATAATATATACCTGGAAAGGCGTATGAACACTTTTTATTGTGCGAAGGCCGTATTTGGACAGAATTTATCGTATGGACATGTTAATAATTAACGAATTAGCGTATGTAGCCGTATGGACAAAAAAACAATACCGTACAAAAGCGCCCGCATATGAAACCCAAACTTTATGAACATTTTATCGACAAAAACCCAAACAATTATATTGATAAAACCCAATCAAACCCAATATTCGGAGGACTTCCAGACAATTTGTCCATTTGACAAAAAAGGCCGGATGCACGGATTTTTTGTGCGAACGTGTTTGAACAAAGAAACATGCACATTTGGATTCCCTGGTATATATATATATATATATCACTAGCCGTCGCCTTCCAAGACCATTAAAAGACTGGTTGACCTGGTGTCGTAGTCTAAAATCGTCTAAAATCCTTAGCAACTGGTTGTTCGGAAAAAAAACATCAAATCAACGGTGGTTCGAATCCTAGGGTATGTACTTAAGTGTAGATTGTATTCCATTGTGAGGTTTAGGCAAAGACGTATTCACCTCTTCTGGTTGGCTGCCACGATCGTGTTAGGGGACGTTGAAGTCATTCAAATCCGAAGCAGATATTGCACAAGCAAGAAGACCTCCTGCAACCATATGTTGGTTGGTGGCTCTCTCCTGGATTTCTGGGGTTACTGTACATGGGGAGAAATTGATTCCTAGTCCAGTCCGTCCGAGTCCGTTCTTTTTGTGGAGAAAGATGCGCTGATCTGGTCGAAACCTGTCGAATCCTGGGAGCAGTTTAGGTTTTTTGCGGCATCATGTCTTTCCTTTTCTTTCCAACCTGCGAAAAGGTCATCGCGGCGTCCTGAATTTAGGCTTCGAGGAATCGAACGTCACCACGCGATGTCGAGGCCGAGGCCCGACCATACAACCGACATCGTGTGTGGAGGGGATCCACCCACCACCGCATTTTGGGCGTCGGGATCTGCGGATGGCGCCTCTGTCTACCGCCAGCCGCGCCCGCAGGAATGGCAGAGTGGAGACGCTTTGGAAGAACATGTAAGGCGTCTTCCATCCGCCCGGGGCAGATGGAAGCTGTTTCGAAGCTGAGTGATAGATGCCAGGAATGTTCTCATCAAGCCAAGCTTCTGAGGTGTTCCCTTCAGTTCAGCCTCACCGAACTGGAAGAACAAGTGGACAATGATGAACAAATGCATGAACATGCTCCACTTTGGCCACTTCGATGTTGGCTAGCTTCATCTTACCCAATCTGACCCTTTAAAGATCCATAATATATCCAGATACCTTATCAAGGTTCGCCTTGTTCGCCCCCTTCCGCCTTTCTTGAAGGTGTCGAACACAGAACACCGTACCTCGGTATGTGGATCGATAGGGTTAGATGGGTGAGGTACGTTCCGCGCGTTTGGAACTGATTGACTTCTGCGCATTGCGCGGCCCTTTTGCGGGAATCCGAAATAACTCAGTCGAAACTGGCTGGAATGTGAGGGCGGTGAGGGTGGTCGTTTCGTGGAAGCATTTGGTAGACTCAGAGCTGAAAGAGCACCCTACTTGTATCACGAAATGTGTTCAAACTCCTCGAAATAAGTGGAAAAACACATGGAAACCCGCCTGTTTGCATTGTAGAGGAAAATGGCCATCCCATGGGCCATGCCATCCACGTAGCCATGATGATGTGATCGGCAGATATCGGCAGTGCGCTGGAAAGTGCGCTCCCAGTTCATGGGCCGACTTGATTCTTCTTTGTTGAACAGCTATTAATCATTCCACAGCTCTAGAGGATTTGTTTGTTGAAACGCTATTAACCTACCTAGCGCTTCCAATGGGTGTCCAATGGTGACCTATAAGCAGTGTAGGGCTGTCCATTGGTAACCCCTTGGAAGCAGCTGGTATTCGGAATTCGCTCTAAAGGACAGAACTGGCCTGTCTCCCAGAAGAACTGCAGGTCTCCAGCAGCCATGCGCTTTGATCGTGATTTGAAAGAGGGAGACATCTTAGGCCCACCTGCGGGGCACGGGGGGGACGGTGGTCCAGCTCGGACTGCTCGGACTGCTCGGTTTGTGCTCGGACGCGCGATGAGACGAAGATGAGACGGATCCGCCATCCGACGGGATCCGACGTGATGGTTTTTGTGGCTGACCTATTTCAGCCTATTTGACGCTTCAGACTCACCTGAAGATCAATGCAATAGTCAAGTAAATTGCCTCGCGTCTCATGGATTGTGGAAAGAGCACGATCGGCGAACGAGGGCGCCCCGAGCCTCCCAGAGATCTTCACTTCACATCAAGGGCCGCATGCAACAAAGATCTTTGGATGGGGTGATGTCTCCACCCTTGATATGCAACGAGACAGAGTTATAGTTATGAGTTTCTTGGACTTGATGTAAAATATCACTTACTATGGTACCAAAGACGACGAGTCCGGGATGGGCTGGGAGACTTATTACATCGGTGCACCAGGTCGTCCCCCACCTTTCGGGGGATGCAACGGCCGTCATACCGTCGGTAGGTTGACCTAGGTAGACAGGTAGGTCAACCTACCAGGGATTAGGTGTTTCGGGTGTTTTGGGGTGTTGTCACCATTCCAGGAAGCCCTGAGAACCTGTCTTCGCATGTTTCATCCCCTTTTTTTCACCGTGTCCATCACGAAAAAAGGTCCCTTTGGTGAATCGGAGAACCGTTTTCGGACATCCCACAGCACCTGGCACCACAACCTCGTGAATCGCAGTTTAACATGATTAAATGATAAATACCCATAAGCCTTGTAGGTCTGGCATGGCTTTGGCTGCCTGGCTGGTGCTTTTTTTTGGGGGACAGTTGTTCCATCCACCTTGCCATCCACCGGCAGCTTGTGCTCCGATGCTGAGCTTGTTTGGCCCAGAGCTCCTGGCACCTTGGCGTTGAGGACGACGCGGCCATGTTTCAAACTGACAACTCATCTGGTTAAAACCCTGTTTATTGTTTGAAACACAACAATCGTCGTTCAAAAAGAGAGAACTCACAGATTTTATAAACTTACAATTTAATATCTTACAATACAGACCATTGAACACCTCAAAAAAGCAGGGTTAGTACGAAAACCATCGGTTGGCAGAACCTGGTAAGCCTGCCACTTGTCATTCAGGCTTCGTTCCCCACACGGACGTGATCAGAGGGTCCACCGCTATTCCGGGCAGCGCAAGAGAGGAACAACCACAAAGCTCGAAAAGCATGGTGTTGGCCCAAAATCTCTGTCTGTGCATCAAAGAACACAGTTTTGTTGCAGATTTTGGAAATCAACCTTATCTTTTCCAGTGCCTGGGTTTTCAAGGTACATCAGTTCATTACCGAGTGCTGAGGAAGTTGTGACACATATGACATATGGCGTTGATATGCGTTGATGTTGTTCTCATGTCGACAGGTCTACGAGACTCTAAGAGGTTCACGTGAGTGCTGGCAACCAACATCAAACCAGCTAGGGATCCATGCACATACCTTCTCAGAAGGTACTAAGAAAAGGTACTTGGACGTTCCATGCTGTAAAAGATTGTAAACGTGTATGGAAATCACCTCCTCAGAGGGTATGTGGATCCATAGGGAAGAGGTTCCCGTTGTCACCATCTGTTTGGTGAGACAAGACCGGCAGACGGCAAGGCCCCATGGCCACGGACGAGGGTCGGGTCGGCCATTGAAACGCAGCTGGCTTGGCCATTCATCACCCATAGGCCATTAGGCCGTGGCAAGAACCACTCCCCAACCAGAATGATGGTTAGTTACGTGGATGGCCTGGCCCTGTTTTTGACTCGAAGAGGACCATTTTCTGATCGTTGTCCAACAAAACGGTGGAAGACCCCGCATCACAACGATCATTTAAAGGAGTGCATGGTTTTGCCAGTTTTCGACCGACCGAACCGGGGGGTTCTTCTTGCATCCCTTTGGCATCCAAAGGGGTGAGATCTGCTTCGATCTGGCTTGCGACACGTGAAGATGTGTCTCACAATGGAGGTGTTTTCCCCATTTCCTCCCCACATCTAAGTGGATATCCATGTGCCTCAAAGAGCTGTTTTTTTTGCACAATAAGTTGGCTCGGCGAGTTGTGAGCAATTCCATCATATTCAAGTTCCCGTTCACGCCAGGTTCCGACGTTCGGCCGGCCCGGAACGAGGTTGCAGACCTCAAGGCCATGGCAGCGGAGGTGCGCCAGGGACCATGGCTGCGGGGATGCCAAGGGTGAAGTCATTCAAGTGACAGTGAGTCCAGTCAACTACGCCAATACGCTGGTCATGTGAATGTGTTTGTGAACTGTTTAAGTGTTCAGTCGAGTAACTAGTGATGGTGCCTACGTATATATGTAAATGAGTGTGGGTCAAAGCCTGGACCTCCAAAACCCTGGCAGGTTAACCTCCCTAGTACACAGTCCCTTCTGTTCATTTTGATAGGTCAGCGGTCCGCCGGTTTCACACGCCGGTTGACCACTCATGTTCTTTGCCGGTTCCTATGAGCACATCTTTATGCACGTTTATGCATGCCTGCTCCAAGAATCGTTGAGTTTCTCGCGAAAAGGAGATGTTGGAAACTCTGCTGGCTGGTGGGTGTGCCTCCTTTATTGGATCTAGATGTGCTTTCCGGAAGAACAAGTGCATTCTATAGGATTTTCCTCCAGCATACCGCATACCACGACTTTCCAAGATGGTATGAGGCCAACAATGGCTGGCGGTGGGCGGTTTGCATCAACACCGAACCAACACCTCACCCTGCAATGAACAGATCCATCACCTGCGCCACTGAACAGAGAGACCTTTGGGTTCAGTTCAGAGATGTTCAGACTTCACTGGGTTGGATCTCTTCAGGGTATTTGTTCCTTTACTTTTTGATTCTGAGGTGGTTCTTGGGAATGATTCACAGTTTGTTGCACGGTTGAAACATACAGGGGCACTATTTAGCTCCACGGGGCTGAGCGAGTATCCTGTTCCTATTAGCATCTATTAACATCTATTAACTACATGATAGGTTGGTGATGTTGAGGGGATTTTGATCCGATCAAATCTATCAGGGTGGAAACACTTGCCTCCAGTGCGGTGTTTGCCATGTTTGAGTATAAGAAACATCATCGGTTGCACCATGCATCTCAGGTTGATGTGGGCCAAGCCGGCATCAATAAGTAGTGTCAAGGCTGTCAAGGTGTCCTCCAAAAACGTTGCCCATAGAGGGATTCCAACTACCTATACACTCCCATGGTCATCGTTGGACCGTGAACGAAAAACATGTTCCCTCCAATCACCCGAACTCTGTCACCAGCAGTGCTGTACAACACACGAGTCATGACGAAAACACATAGAAGTGACACTTGGAACGCACTTGGAAGACTAGGGTCCTCTAGAAACAGGGGGCTTTTCATGGGTGTTCTTCTTCCGTGTCAGTGAGTCTTTGGCCACCAACGGCGACGAATGGGGCGCTCGGCTTCCAACGTCGTAGGCCAGAGCCAGCGTCGGCGCACCCGGACGGCGAAAGGGACGAGTGTGCCGACGGGGCGTTCGGTTTTGCCATGTTTTGCCTGGTTGATTTTGTGGGCGAATCCCCAGAAGTGGGGAAGATGTTCTTGTGTCCATTTATACAATAAAGAAGGGAATGGTTTGGGGTCCCAAACGCAGGACGCCCCCGAGAAAGTAGTAGTAGTCGGGCCCCCCCCCCCCC